CCGCCCGCCCCGCCCCTGCTCGCTAGGCCCCGCTTGCCGTGGGTCCCATCGCCTGGACCCGGATGAACGTCGTCGCACAGCCCGTCCTTGCCACCAGGCCAGATCGCCGCAGCCCAGAGGCCGTGCGCCCACCGGACGCTGGCCGGAGCTGGGGCTGGGGCTGGGAACTGCCGAAGGAGCCTGGCCCCCGCCCCTGATTTTGGTTCCCCTGTTCTTACTTAGGACCTGAACTGCCCCTTCCTGGAGGGGCTTTATATCTCGGAACCCAAGACCATTAGGGAACTGCTGTGCAGCCCCTCCAAGTACCGCCTGGAGATCCTGGAGTGGATGTGCGCGAGGTAGGAAGCCCTTCGCCCCACTCCTGCCCCTGGGGCGGGCTGCACCTGTGCTAAGTGACTGCCCTGCCCGAGACCTCCGTGGGCTAGGGCACGGTCCAGCCTGCAGCTGGGTACAAGCCAGCTCCAGGGTGAGCTCATTCAGGGGGACGTGTCTCCAGGGGTGCTGAGGTTGGCTGCTGCGCTGCTGCCCATTGTCAGCTTTAACCACGTCTCTGGAGCTGGCAGGATCCTGAGAACAAATCTGTTCTGTCCTTTCATCTTCAGAATCAGAAGGAGAGGGTCAGGCTGCAGTGGGCAGGATCCCAGCTCATTCCTGAAACGTGACAGGCAGGACCAAGGCCTGTGTCCCAGTCCCTTGAGTCAAGGTGTGGCCTGGTGTGTGCCTGGCACTGGGCCAGGGCAGCAGAGCCTGCCCACGAGCAAGGGGAAGATTCAGGAAGCCCTGAGGAGTTTGTGTTGGGAGCGACTGCCGCCCAAGCTGTGCACTGACCGGAGGGCCTTGGACACGGCCAGGGCCACTCCCGGAACCGCAGGCGCGATGGCTGGACTTGGGGAGCTGGGTTTCGGCACCCATGGGGGCCAAGCGCAAAGCCGGCACCGGCACTCTGCACTCTGGAGTGCTGTTGCTCTGGCGCCACTCACTGGGCCCAGCTGAGCATTGCTTGAGGCTGGACCTGCAGGGCTTCATCCTTTGCTCACTGGGGCCTTTGTGAGGACAGAGCCGCTGCTGACAGGTCCACGCGAGAGTATTTACTCGGCACAGCATTCTGGGGGCTGGCTGGCTCCTGACCTTGAGCAGCCCAGGGTCCGGACAGTGCAGGCGCAGCCCGGCGGGGAGGTGGGCGGAGGTGCTCCCCGGGGCTCCCGGGGCCCCAGCCTGGCCTGCCTGCGGGACAGCCTCCTGCCAACTCCCACGCTGTGAGAGCAGCCAGCAGACTGGTGCCCTCTGGGGAGAGCTTAGAGCGCTGAGGAATTGCGCTTAGGCAGGCATTCCAATTTGTGTGTGAAGATTTTCATGTTGCTATTCATGTGCGCCTTCTGGGGCAAACTTTCAGAAATCCTTTGTTTTTTGCTCCAGTTTATGTAGTTAAAATTCCTGTGAAATCACCAAAGCGATCCCTTTGGCGGCTCAGTGTATGCAAGAGCGCATCAGGCCTGACTGGTTTTCTCTTTCTCTGCAGGGTCTGTCCCTCCTGGCAGGACCAGCTCGGCTTACAGAAGGGGGCCCTAGCTGAGGCCAAAATCCACGGTGGGTGTGTGGATCGAGTGCTGGCTTGTTCTCCGCCTGGCCGCCGCCTCCTTAGCAAGATGGGGGTATTTCCTGCCACAGCGGTATTTTCTTCTGGGTGTTGCTTGGGCAGAGCCTTGTCGCCCCGGCCGTAGGCGCCATGTCAGAGATGGTGCGCTCTCCAGCTGTGGCGTGTGCAGGCGACACGCTTTCGGGGGGCTTGCCAGGAAGCTCCTCACCTGGCTCGTCTGCTGTCTGCCCTTCCAGAGCCCCTCCTGGCAGGACATGGCCTTGACCCAGTCCTGGGTGACGTTCAGTGGCGCGGATTATAGACCTCTGATGCTGGCCAACCCGTCGCCTCCACAGGGGCATCTTTAGAGTGGCTGCCCAGGCCTGGCGCATGCCCCAACCTCTCCTGGGAGGGCGGGCAGGACCCAGGGCCCACAACCTGGCCCAGCTGGCTCTGGCCAGGTCAGGGTGTGGGGGCATTGGCCCAAAGGACAGGGGGTCGCGTCCGGCGCCTGCACAGCTGCCCCAGCTGGCTCTTGCCAAGCGATGGGCCCCATGGAGCCCTCAGCTGGACGCGGCACCCACCTCGCTGCCCCAGGTCTGTTCCCTCTTCTGTGCCGTGGGGTTGGGGCCGCAGGCTTGGCTGCCCCGTCTGTCAGGGTGTCATGGCTATCCCGGGACTGCTCTCTGTGGTGCTGAGGCCGCTGGCAAGATGGAGGCTTGTGCCTCGAGCGACGGTTCCATCCCTTGGCCCCATGGGGCTGCCCGGGCGGTGCAGGCGCCGGCCTGCAGCACAAAGCCAGGTCCCCCCCTCTGGAGACTGTCCAGTGAGGGCCAGTGGCTCGGCTCGGGTCACGCAGTGGCAGGCTGTGTAGGGACATGGTCGTGTCTGCCCCGCCGCCTGGCCTTGCTCTCGGGTGGGAAAGCTTAGCTTGGTGCACCCTGCTTGGCTGCGGGGCTGACACTAACTGAATTCGTGTGCTCCCTCAGAGATGGTGAAACTCGGCCATGAGCTGCTGCTGTGCGGGTCCGGTGACCAGGAGCTGCTGAGGGTACGCAAGGGCCCTTTCTGCCCCGTGGGCCTGGTTGGCGGGGTCGCCGGGAGGGAGGCCCTCTCAGCCCTGGATCTGTGGGCCCGCATCCCCGCCCCTGCTTCTTAGCCCGGGTGGATCCTCGATGGCTGGGCTGAGACGGTGTCAAACATTCTGGAGGCCTGAGGAAAGCAGCACTGGTCTCTGAGCTGAACCGTCTCCTTCGCTCGCTGCCTTGCTGAGTCCGTGGTTTCGGGGAAGTCCAGCTCACTTGTGCGCTTATGCTCCTGGTGGCAGCCACGATGCCATCGCCAAGTGTGGAGTCAGAGTGGCATCTGCCCTCTTCTAAGAATTCAGTAGCGTTAGCGCTCCTGTTTCGACCTTCCGTCCTTTCTGTGTAGGCTTCTGTGCGCAGCACGAGGCGAGGGTCCACACGCCGCCGGGCACGGTGTGCCGAGGGCACTGCCCTGGCCTCGGGAGTTGGCTCGGCACGCGCCCAGAAGCCAGTCGGCAGTCACGCCCGTCGCCCAGCTGTGTTCTTTTTCAGTTCGTTTTGGCTAGGAGGGGGGTCCCGTAGGCTTCCGCCTGCCTTTTAGAGTCAGTCGTTAACCAGCGGGGTGCCGAGGGGAGCCGCCAGCCAGCCGAGTCTCCGCATCTGGAGCCGGCTGTCTTCCTGTGTCTGCAGGCTTTTCTCCGAAGACGTGCAGCTTTCAGGACAAGAGTGACACCTTGTGCTGCGCTCTGGGTGCAGGGCCCCTCCTCCTCACGAGCCTACCAGCCGGGGCCTTTCTTCGTGGCTCTCTTGGAGCTTTTCTGTGTGCGAGATTGTGTCGCCCGTGAACAGCTAGCTTTACACCTGCCTTTCCAGGCGGGACGCGTGGGGCGCGTTTTTAGCCAGGCTGCTCGCTAGCCCCTCCGGAATGGTGCACACGGGCTGGCAAGGCGGCTCTTCGGGCGCGGGCGGGAGCGCACCCTAGGGTCCTCCTTCCTTCCGCAGGCGGCAGTGCCCTGGCGTGGGTGGTGGGTCAGCAGCCTTTCGGCCGCGGCTGCCGTCAGGCTCTGCAGCCGTCCGAGTCAGTTCCGGCCCGGGCCACGGGGGCGTTTCTCCTGCGTCCACCCTGCGTCCCCAGTACGCAGCAGTCTGGTTGTGGGCTTGGGGCACATTTCTGGGTTTGGCCTGTGGGATCTGTCAGTTTGACTCTTGTGTGACATTTGCAGCACCCCGCACCTTAGCCGCCGGCACTCCCGCCCTGCCGGCCCGCTCCGCCCCTGTATCATCGGGTCTCGGCCCCGCCAGACTTGTGCCTTCTTTAAACACGCTCTTGTCCCTGTTGCTCACTGCACACTTTCTGATCCCGCGCTCCAGGTCGCTGACTCCATCATCGTGCCCGAGCCCATCTGTGCGTTTCCTGGGTTTCTGTCCCAGAGTGGCCGTGGCTTTCACGTTTTCTGTTCTCTGCTGCCGTTGTCTACTTTAACTTTGGTTTCAAGGGTGTCTGTGATGTCTGAGTCGGTGCTGCATGTCTGTGGGCCTCTGCTGGCCTCTTCGCCTGCAAGCGCAGACCCGTGTGTCCTCACGGCCGCTCACTCGGCGCCGTGGCCTGGCTTCCGGGCAGCTGTCCGTGGGTCCGGGCGGGGGAGCTCTGCCGGCCTGGCCGCGTGGCCGGTCCTGCCCGTGCCGCTGGCCGCGCACCCTGGGGCCCGGCCTGGGCGTCTCCGCCGGCCTCGTCAGCGGAGTCTCGGGTCCACTCGGTGCCTTCAGGCCCACCCGCGTGGTAGGGTGAGCCTGGCGCTCCCGCACGCGTGGCCGGGGCCTTGTTCCATGGTGACCCCTGGGGTCAGAGCAGGGCGCCTGTCTGCCTTGGCCACGGCCACATGTGGACTCTCTATCTGTCCAGGGCCGTGCCTGCGCCCAGAAGCAGCTGCGTTTCATGGACCAGTTGCTGGATGCAGTCCACAGTCTGCGCACCGGGTGCCCCAGAGGCACCAGGTAAAGGCTTAGCATGCGCCCCGCTTGCAGCACCTGGGGCTGGGGGCCCCGTGTACCTCTGGTCAGGAGCTGTGGGCTCCCGTCAGGTGGAATGGGGAGGGGGGAGGCCGGCAGTGGCAGGGGCTGTCACTGCGGCCTGCCTGCCCCCTGCTGGCTGCCTGGCTCCCGGGCTTCCCTGTGTGACCGCGGCCCTGTGGGCGCCACTGCAGCACCAGGGAGCACTTCGAGGAGACCCGGGAGAAGAACGAGGCATGGCTGGGGGAGCTCTTCGCCTGCCCCCGCCTGCAGTCACTGCTGAGCCCCCGGTGTGACCCGTGGCCTCTGGATGTGCAGCCCCTCCTCGACCAGCAGAGCGATGAGTGGTGGAGGTGTGTGGTCTGGGCCGTGTGGTTCCATGGCCTGGGGCAGCCCTTCCTGTTACGGCTCGCACGGCGTCCTGTGGCCAGTGACAGCCGGGGCTGGGTTGTGCCTCTTCTCTCCCTGCAGGGCTCGCCCCTCTGTTGGGAGGGAGGAGGAGGAGGTGCTGGAGCTGACCAGGCAGCTGCAGGAGATCGCCACCAGGCTGCAGGCGCTCAGGGCGGAGGTGAGCGGTGCTGAGTTCTGGAACTGCAGGGCTGGCGCGTCTGACTGGAGAGGCCCTGCCTCATGCTCTTATGTCGGGAGCGGGGGTGGGCGACGTGGCCTCTCCCAGCCTCAGGTGTCCCATTCGCATTGGGAGCAGGGCGGTGGGGTGGTGGGGCTGAGGGAGGCTGCGGGGGCGGATCCGGAGCGGCGGGTGCCGTGTCCTGACCATGGGCTGGGGGTCGTCTGCCTCAGGTGGGCTGCGCCAGTCCTGTGCTTGCCTGCGGAGTGCAGGGGCTGCCGGCCAAGGCCTACCGGCTCTGTTCTCCTCCTGTGGTTCTTCTGCCTTGGGTCTGTGTCTCCCAGTTGGCAGAAGGGACCTCGGGGTGGCTCGCAGACACTGGCCCTGATGTGGGAAGGGACTGGTGCCCGGGACTGGCCGGGCAGCTTCACGGGACCCTGTCTCTGCTTCTGCAGGGCTTCAGGCCGCATCAGCCAGGTGCCGCCGGGAGCGGGGCTGACAGCAGCACCCTGGACCAGCAGCTGCGCCTGGTCACCTCAGACTTCCACCAGCTGGTGGCGGCTTTCCTGCAAGTGTGTGAGGACGAGCTGAGTGACTGCTGCCAGCGCCCGGGTGCCCACCTGCACCCGTGCGGCCCCACCGTGCAGGCCGTCCACCGGGCTCTGAGCTCGTGCAGCCAGGTGTGTAGCTCCTGCCCCGCGCCGTCGGTGTGAGGGACCTGAGGGTTGGCACGGGTGACCTGGAGGGGCTGGGCCCCGTGGGTGGCTGCAGGTCCATATTGTGCTGGCACCAAGCGAGGGGTGATGTAGAAGCCCCCCAAGGACCCTCGTACATGTCTGGAGGGTTAACTGAGCCGGGGCCCCGAGAGGCCTGTGGACTTGCTCTGCCTTTCTGGGCTGACCGGTGCCTGTCTCTCCTCGGCCGCTGTCCCCGTGCTGGTCTCCCTGTCCTGAGCAGCTCAGCGTGTCATGGCCCATCCTTCATGTGCCTCAGTCAGATGGGTGGGAGAGGGTCTCGGCGTCGCGCTGACTGACATCGGCTTCCCAGACCTCTCTGCCTGTGAGCAGGCGGTTCTTGGGATCCCTCCAGCGGGAAGTCGGGTGCAGTCTTCTCCCCTTGGGACAGCCCTTTGCGCTGGTGACGCTGATTTTCCCACTGTGCCCTGGGCTCGGCTCAGATGCACAGGCATGGCATGCCCAGTGGGCCAGGAGGGAGGACGAGTCCTCGGTTGCTCACGGCCAGCTGCCTGGAGCCCCAGGGCCTGGGGAGCCATGTACATCCAGGTGCACTGGGTAGGGAGCAGGAGATAGGCCGCCTGTCGACCTGACCACCGGCACTGACTCCCGTGTGCTCCCCAGCTGTTGAGAGTGGCCGTGGCGGTCACGGCCACGTCAGCGGAAGCCGTGGAGATGGCCAGACGGCAGCATGGCGAGCCAGTCTGCTGGGGTGGCGGCAGCTCCGTGACGAGTCTCGGTAGGTGCCTGCGGGGACCAGTGGCAGGGCCTGGTGCCGCCCTCGTGTGCCGGCTCCTCGCTCGGCCCCATGGTGTTTGGGGAGCCTGCGGACTGACCCTCACTTCCTCTTTGCACGGCGCTTAACGTTTTCCCTACCTTGGCCTCCCGGATAGGCCGGGCTGTGAACGCCTGAGCTGCAGTGGGGCACTTCCTTTTCCTGTCCTCGCTCTTAGGCCTTTGCCTGAATGTCACGTGGATCACGTCACTGTACAGTGGGGTCCTACGTGGCCCGCCTCACTACGTCCTCCCGGGTTCCCAAGGTGACATTTTCCTGACTTGGTTCAGGCAGCGTTATTGCGCCCGGGCCAGCTCTGGCCCTCTCTGTCAGTGTGTGGCCCACTCGTGGCCCTGTGGCCGGGTCTGCAGTAAGAGAAGGGCAGGTGAACTTTCCCTCGGTGCTGCCCCGAAAGCGTCTCAGCCCACAGGGATACCAGCCTCAAAGTGCTGATTCCCTGTGCTGCGGCAAACTCTTGTCCCAGTCCGGAAGATGGAAAGCCTGTCCCCGCCAGCTCAGCGCCCTCCACACCCCGTGTGCCGCCTCCCGCCGCAGTGAACTGGCCCTCGGCGTGGTGGCGACCGCGTGCCTGTGCGTCTTGGGTCCGGAGGCTGCGCGCGCTCGTTCCTGCCGCGCCTCGGCTCTGGCGAGGGCAGCCCGGCCGCCCTTGAACTTCCCCATCAGAACAGCTGGGGCCGCCGGGCCGGGCCGGGCCCTCGGGGACCGGCAGCACCGTGGGCTCCGCCTTCCCCGCTGGGTTTGGGCTTCCTGTGGGTGATGCCGCAGCGGCAGCTTCTGCCGTGGTGGGCACGGGTGCCTGTGCCGGGGTGGCGCCTCTTGGGGACGGCATCGCGCGCGCAGGCTTCCTGTTCGGAGCAGTGCCCACTGGCCTGTGACTCACCTGCCGGCTTGCTACGCTCCTCTGGGCGACTCGCAGCCCAGCTGGTAGTCCGGGTCCCAGCCCCCGCTGCGGGCGCGGCTCGCGTCTGTTCCCCCGTGTGGCTTGCCTTTCTGTGGCCTTTTGACGGACAGCAGCTTAAAGGTGTCCAGGTCAGCGTCATCTCTGGATAGTGCAGTGTGTGCGCAGAGACGCCCCTGTTCTAATAGCACAGAGGCCCTGGCTACATCCTCCTCCAGAGCGTACGGGTGACCTGTGATGTTGGGAGTTGATTTGGGGGAGTTTCACTGCATCCATTGGCATACGCAGCCGTCCCAGCACCCCGATGGAACCCCACTCTTTCCTGTTGATCGGAAGTAGCCACGGGCGGGGTTCTGACTTCTCTAGAATGCTCGGTATCCCTGTTCTTTCCCCACGTCACCGCCATACTTCAGGAGGCTGGAAAATAAGCAATAACACAGAGCTGAGAAACGGGCAAAGCCGCTGTTTGAGGCGCGACTCACGCGGCATGAAGGCCACGCTCTGAGTGTTCACGGGGGTTTGCTGTACTCACACAGCTGCGCGGCTCTCGCCCGAGGCCGGCACCGGTACGTGTATTCCTTGAGGACGAGCCCTGCTGTGTCCTGCGCGCTCTGCGCGCCTCTGGGACGTTCGCCGCCCCTCATTCCCAGGGCCCGGGACAGATTCAGTTCGGGTGCACCTGCCCTTGGCTGCTTCTGCCGCGTGGCTGGGTCATGTGGTGACTGTCAGGGTTAGAACTTTGGTTCTTACCCCTCCCAGCTCCGCCTCTTAATCCACATGCATTTAATGTGATTCAGAAGGTAATTGGGCCTGGCTTTCCAGCTCTGCTCGTGGCCGGCCGGGCTCTAGCAGGGCAGTCGCACGGTCAGCGGGCAGGAGGGGCACGGAGGAGGCACACCTGAGGAGTGTCACTGTCCATCGGTGGGTTCGCCCAAGCCCATTGACCGCAAACTCCTGCGCTTCACCGTCACCTTGGGGCAGGCAGGCTCCACCCGTGTTCCTGACCGTCCATGGCCAGGAGGGCAGGCGGGTGGGCGCGTGATGTTGGAGAGACCTGCAGGAAGCACCCTCATCCCTGAGGTGGGGAGGGAAGAGCCTAGGGGTTTCCCAGTGGCTGCCAGTAATGGGGGTCTGCTCTCCGCCTCACCCCCTGAGCCAGGGGTGGTGCAGGTGGGGCGGGTAGCTGAGGCCCCGGGGTGATCCGGTTGCCGCTGTGAGCCGCGTTCCTGACCCCATCAAAACTGAGCTCAGCAATGAAACCACTTGAACTCACTGTCAAAATCGGAATAACCCTGGACAGGCCAGGAGAGTGGGCGCTGGGAGTCCAGCCCTGCTGCCGCCCTGGCAGGGCCTGAGCAGCAGGGGGCGCTCATCCTGCCCTGGGCACCTGTCTGTCTCCACAGCCGCCAAGATGGAGGAGCTGGCCCAGAAGTATCAGGTCTTCCCCGGAGGGCTGCACAAAGGAGCCGGCTAGTCTGGAGGAGCAGCAGCAGCGAGCCGGGGCCCTGGCGGCTCCCACACAGCTCCTGGGCGGGGTGGGGACTGGTGGGCCAAGAAACCTCAGCTTCTAAGAACTGGCCTCCTGCCTGCTCTCTGCGCCTGCTCCCCTGCACTGGCCTGGCTGGCCGGCCGTGCGGCCTTCCCTTCTCCCCCTGCCCCTTGGGGGGCTGAGTCCCAGCAGTGCCCTTCTCCCCCCCACCCCCTGCTTCTGCACCCACCACTACCCAGCCCCTGGTGACCCTCCTGTGCCATCTGCCCCTGCCTTTTCCCTCGGGTTCCCTGGCAGTGTTTGCCCCTTTCTAAGGCCCAGTGGGTGGACGCCCAGGGCACCAGGCCTTTCGGGGAAACGTCTTGGCCTAGCAGCTCGCCAGTTGCAGCCGCTGCCCCCTACCCACCTCAGCTGGCCCCGGTGGGGAGGGAGCTTCCCTCTGAACCCAGCTCTCCCACCCCTGCATCTGCCAGCCTCTCCTGCAGGTGTGTGGCCCTGCGGGGACTGGGAGCCAGGAGGCTCCTTTCCACCTGGGTAGCCGGAACCTCAGGCCGGGCACTAATGTGCTGCCAGGCGAGATGGGTGGGCAGACCAGCCCTTGCTCGCCACCCTTCAGCTGCGCCAGTGGCCCCAAGGGGTTCAGCCTGTGAGCCGCACCTCTCTCGCCTCTTGGGGCCCGCGTGAGGCCAGCCTAGCAGGTGCCCACGGCGCAGTGGGGGGTCACTCCTGGGGATGCCGTCCCAGCCTGGCCCGTGGGGGCCTTGTGACGGCCTCCGTCTCCACGTGCGCGTCCCCTTAAGCGCTGGGTGGGCTGGTGCAGGCCACAGGCCTGAGGAGCTGTGTGCATAGCTGGCGCAGCCTTCTGCCCCTTTTACTTGGCCTCGCGCCTCCCTGCCTGCCGGCCTCTCCTGCCGTCGCTGCCACTTGCTCTTTAGACAGGTCTCGTGTCTCATTATCCCTTGAAGGAGATGCCATCTTCCCTGCCGTGAAAGATAAGCCCGCGAGCGGGGTAGGCTGCCGCTCAGCGGCGGGCCGGCTGCCCCTGATGCCGGTGACACCCGGCGAGGCGCTGGCGCTAGGGTCGGCGCCCCTTCCTGCTGGGCTGAGCCCAGCGCAGGCACCTGGTTCCCACATCTGAGTCACTTGCCTCCCCCGGGCAGGCCCCGCCCTAGTCACTGCGGACCGCGCCTGGCACAGGGCCCGTGGCAGGGCGGCGGGGCTCGGGCTTCCTCCTGCCTGCGATGACTCGGTCCCCAGCTCACAAGCCTGCCCGGCGGTGGCCGCGTGCGGCGGGCGCCTGCTGCCCCATCTGTCAACATGGGGCGCGTGGCCCTGCGGCTGAGCGAGCGAGGGGGCGGCTAGCCGGCCACACAGGTCCTGCGGCCTCTGGCCTCCCTGTTGCCCAACAGGCGGCTGGGGGCGGGCCAGGGCTGCTGATTAAAGGGCGCCTGGAGCTGCCTGGTGGAGACAGGTGCCCAGCAGCCCAGGAAGCCAGCCAGCGCCCGCCCCAGGTAAGCCAGCACGGAGGGTGGCGGGATGGCTGTCGGAACCCCGAGGCAGGCAGGCGGCTGGCCCCAGCTCCTGTGTGCTAAGGAGAAGGTCAGGCTGGCCAAGCCCGGGAGGCGGGGGTCTCTGCCAGGGCTTTCTTCGACGACTGCTTCCCACCCAGCTGCCAGCCCCGGGGCGCAGCGAGGGAGCTGGCCCCAGCTCCCAGCCAATGTGTCTCGGGAAGGTGCTGTACGGCTGTGCCCGAGGACGCGGGCGGCCATTCTCCCTCCGCGGACCCGCATGGGGGCACAGCAGGCGGCCCTCTCGCCAGGCGGTGGGTGGTGCTAGTTCGGGCTGGCCTGCGACACAGCCTCATCACAGACGGGGAGAGCCAGAGCCGGTGCTGGGGCCCGCCTTCCCGCCCCTGCGGCCCCGGGCCGTCTTCCTGGCTTGACCCTGCACTGCAGCTCCCAGAACAGACAGGTGGTGGGGTGGGGGCCTTGACTTGGGACCGCTCTGGGTGGTGTCAGCTTCTGTGCTTTCGCCTGGCAGCTTTCATTTCACTTGCCCCTGAGCAAACTACCATGTCTGAGGCACCTCGGGCTGAGACCTTTGTCTTCCTGGACCTGGAAGCCACCGGGCTCCCCAACCTGGACCCCGAGATTGCCGAGCTGTCCCTGTTTGCTGTGCACCGCTCTTCCCTGGAGAGCCCGGAGCGCGACGAGTCTGGTGCGCCCGTGCTTCCCCGGGTCCTGGACAAACTCACGCTGTGCATGAGCCCGCAGCGTCCCTTCTCGGCCAAGGCCAGCGAGATTACCGGCCTGAGCAGCGAGTGCCTGGCACGGTGCCGGAAGGCCGGCTTCAATGGCGCTGTGGTGCGCACGTTGCAGGCCTTCCTGAGCCGCCAGGAGGGCCCCATCTGCCTGGTGGCCCACAACGGCTTCGATTATGACTTCCCCCTGCTGTGCACGGAGCTGCAGCGCCTGGGCGCCCAGCTGCCTCAGGACACGGTCTGCCTGGACACGCTGCCGGCGCTACGGGGCCTGGACCGCACCCACAGCCACGGCACACGGGCCCAGAGCTGCAAGGGCTACAGCCTGGGCAGCCTCTTCCGCCGCTACTTCCAGGCCGAGCCCAGCGCCGCCCACTCGGCCGAGGGTGACGTGCACACACTTCTGCTGGTCTTCCTGCACCGTGCCACAGAGCTACTGGCCTGGGCGGACGAGCAGGCCCGCAGCTGGGCCCAGGTTGAGCCCATGTACACGCCCTCTGATGGGCCCAGCCTCGAGGACTGAGCATCAGGGGCCCTCGACGCGCACTCCGGGACAGGCCCCTCACCGTGGGCAGCACCAGCCTGCAGCTGCTCATCCTGGCAGGCCCAGAGCTGCATGCATCCTGCCGCCCCCTGCACGGGGCAGCTCCAGGTCCAGAGAGCTGCCTCGCCCTCCCAGGCCCTGGCCAAGCTAGCCCACCCGGCTGGTGCTCAGCGCAGTTGGCTGCTATGGGCGCCTGTCCCTCCACGTGTCCGCCAATAAACTCCCTCAACTGCTCACAGCTACCTTGCCAGCTGCCCCCACAGTCTGCTGCAGGTGGCAGGGAGGAAGCCAGGCCAGGAGCTAGCGCAGAGCCTCTGGCCGCCCCTTGTGGCTGTCCGTGCGAGCAGTGGGACCTGCGTGGGGGTGCGGGAAGGGTGGGGGCCAGCCGTAAGCAAACATCAGCTGTCACGCTAAGGGGCAGAGGGAGCTCTGGGTCCCCAGGCACAGGCCGCTTTCTTGGCAGCTCTCCCTCCTTGGCCTGGATTATCCGGCTGCGCGGTCCCCCATCATCACCTCAGGGCCCTGGAAGTCCGTGAGCCCACACTTGGGGGTCTTTGCATGGAGCGTAATGGGGAGCAGAGCCCTCAGCCACTGCCTGCCCAGGTGCACAGGGGCTCTAGAGTATGGATCCCATGCTACCTCCCTCCCCTCGGAGCTCCAGCCCTGCAGGCCCACACGCTCCAGGAGGCCAGGTCTGGGCCTGCCCGGGCCCCAACAGGCACTTCCACAGCAAGGGCCCCGAGGGCCAGGGCCAGTGAAGTGTGCTGGCCGTGCTGGGTGGCCCAGGATGGCCTTCCTGGGCCCGTGGCCCTTGCACTAGGGGAGGCGGCCACCTCAGCTGAGCTCTGGGAAGCTGATTCTGTCTGTGGGCCTCACCCGTGTCGTCAAAGGATGGGCAAGGTGGGGCAGGATGTCCGGGACCAGGAAAGCGGGGTGGGTGGGGTGGCCACACCCAGGAGTGACTCGCAGGAGCGGAGCCCAGAGCCAGCCGGGCCCGTTTGGGCCCCCTAAGTAGGTCACGGTGGGTAGAGGCGCTGCAGCGCGCGATGTGGCAGGTGGTGAGGCCAACGGCGGCAGCCACCACGCCATCGCTGCCATCCAACCAGCTTGCGCACAGGCTGGCCAGATGTGATTCCGTTTCACGGCGGGAACAAACTAGAGCAGGCTCAGAGCAGGAAGAGCCGGACGGAGGCCGGCCAGAGGAGGGGGAGGTCTGCGGGTAGCTAGCTTGAGAGCTTCCCAAGGAAGCATAGTGGGGCCTTGGCCTGAGCAAGCACCTACTTAGGGGTGCCACCAGGTTGGACCAGCTTGGCTCCAGGGGTGAGTACAAAGGGCCCCTCCTCTGATAGGCAAGACAGGAATGGCGCAAACCCTGGCCCCAGGGGGTTGCTGGACGGCAGCTGGTGGTCAGTGCTCCCTGCCCCTCACTGCTCCAGGTGGCCTTGGTGGTGCCAGGGGCCTCACACTGGCCTTGCCTCGGGCACCTGCTCTGATTCTGCCCTGGCACAGCTCTGTGCCTTCCGTGCGACGCAGCCAGGCTGGGCTGAGAGCAGGGATGTGGTGAGTGGGTGACGACGCTCTCCCGGGCGCGAGCGAGCGTGAATGAGTGTGCCTGCGCACGTTTACTGTGCCTTTCAGTGCCATGCAAAGGATGTGAGCACACAGTTTACAAAACAAATGCTACTAGAGACAAAATCTGCAAAACGATAGACAATGCCAAGGCCGTGGAAGCTCAGAACTCCCTGAGTGGCTTTGTGCAGAAGCCTCGGCCTCGGGCGGCTACTCGACCTGGGGCGGCTACTGCTGACCGGGTAAAGACAGAGCCACACAGATGCCTCCTGAACCCTGAACTCGCGCCCTCCACGCCGCGGGCGCCTCCTGGCTGGCTGGATAGCAGTGGGGACGCCGAACGAGAGCTTCCGAGGCCGCTCGCCGCACGCTGGCCGTTGAGCACGGAGAGGGCAGGAGAGGGCTGAGGTAGCATTGTGGGGTGCTGGTGCTTGCTAAGTGGACACAAGAGTGAAATGAAGGCTGAATGGGTCCCAGGCCCTGAAATACAAGTGAGAAAAGCGCCGCCTAAGCCCTGCGAGTAAAAGCCGCCCACCTTGAGTTGAGCTCTAAGGCTGCCAGGGACGTGGTGGAGGGGCCCCGTGAGGGAGGGCGCACTGACAGCCACCCCAAATTGCAGTGACCCGAAGCAGGGCCTCTCCATGCGTGGCCTGCCCCGCGACTGGCCACCCGGCACTTCAGCCAGGTCCGCATGTCTTTGTCATGTGTCACTCTCCAGCCAATAAAATCGAGCTCCTTTGTTGTCAAGCCCAGCCCCAGCCCTATCGGGCCTCATTCCCTTTGCCGGGGAGGCAGCTTGGAGTGGCAGTAACGCCAACTTCGCAGCACCGCAGTCGGGCAGTCTGTGTGTCAGCTCGAGCCCCAGGGCCATGGCCGGTGGGCGGGGCGCCGTGGAAGCTGGCACGGAGCTGCCGGCAAAGCAGGATGCGTCTGGAGGGCCTCCTTGGTTTTCGGGATAACCTAAGTGGAACTAGGACCTCGCTGTTCAGTCATGGTGCTGCTCAGCAGCTGTCTGGAAATCCTCAGCCCTCACCCTCTGGGTCGTGTAACACCCAAAGACCGGCCACCAAGTGCACCTGCCATGGCCCACTGGCCCCACTCGCGGGCTGGGCCCCAAGAGAAGTGTGCGCGTGCGCACCCAGAACAGCCGCCAGCCTTTCCCAGCTCGCCCACCAGCACGTGAGGGCTGCTGAGAACTAAGAGCACTTTGGAGACACATAGCAACCTGGGCTCTCAGTAACTAGGAAGAATGGGGGGCCAGACCCAGGCCCAGGCCCAGCGCACTGCTGCTTGCCCTGCGCCGGGCTGGCCCTGGACACGATGGCCCGTCACTGGCTGACGGGTCACATCAGGCCGCCAGGTGCCTGCCAATGGGGCACTTGGGATAGCGGCCGAGTGAATGCGACCGCACGCACGGAAGGACCGACGCTCGGGGGGCCGAAGCACCCCAGCTGCTCGCGCATCGGCCGGTGCCCATGGCCTTGTTTCGGGCAGCCCTGGCCGGCGCACTGTTGGCTCTGCATCGAGTGGGCCCTGCCCACGAGCAGCACTAAGCACAGCCCCTCCCGTACCCGTCAGGCGCAGGCCCTGCCCCCCCCACATGCCCCGGACTCCCTGGCTTCCATCTACCTCCACGCCCCTGGCCAGACACGGCCGCGCCGGCACCGGTCTTAGCAGATGCTGCTTTGTCGAGCCCGGCCGCTGCCTTGTGCTGCCAAGGCGGCGTCCGCAGGTGCCTTGCCCAGGGGTGCGCCTCACCCAGTTTGGGAGCGAAGATTTTGTTATCTCCAATTGCATTGGACAATGCCTGGCAGTGCCATGGAACTAAGGGGCCACCAGCTGGCACCCTCCGTGCCCTGGCTTGTCCAGGTAGGGAGCTGCAGGGCTCCTGCCTGCCACCCCCAACACATACGGCCCAGGGAAGTGCGCCAACAGCCTGGCTGCTGGCTCTGAGGGAGACCGAGTGCCCACCGCACCCTTCCCAGCCGGCGACTGTGGAGCTCGGGGAGCAGGGGGGCGCAGGAAACCTCTGCCTTGCACGCACCGACCACGGCAGCCCCGCCTGCTCTCAGGCGTCGGTGGCAGGTGGCCCGCGGTCTGCATTTCAGACAGGCGCCTCCTGTGCTCTAGAAGGGACTGCCTGGGTCGGGAGGCTGCTTAGGGTACTGAGATGCACAGACATCCCCCAAAGCTGAGGACACACAGCAGGGAGGTGTTTCCTTCCAAGGGAGCGGACCCCAGCATTGGGATGGGCTCTCCCCCAGGCCCCGCCCTGCCTGGAGCCCCTCTGCCGCGGAGTGGTCCAGGGCGTCCTGCGCTCCAGCTGAGGGCTCCAGAAAGTCCCCATCACGCCTTTCTGTCTGCTGCATTCTCGGGACTGGCCCTGGGACCCGAGTCTCCAGGCCCGCTTGGGGAGTTTCCCTAGGGAGCTGCTCCTCCTGGGTGAACAGCCTGGGCCAGACAGGCCCGTGGCCAGTAGGCTCCGGGCAAGTGCTCCCAGCCAGCGTGTCGGGCTCCTGGTTGGCACCCTTAGAAAGCCGTAGCCTGGCAAGAGCCCGCAGCCAATGCCATCATTCCGAGCGAAGACACCACTCGCCCAGGCTGGAGCAGGGCTTTGGGGCAACAGGAGGATGCGACGTACAGGAAGGACCCGGTGTGGCTGGGAGGCCTGCACTGGGGAGCTGCCCCCATACCCCCAACTCTGACCAGCAAAAGTGACCTACTAGGTTGGGCTGTTTTCCGAGCCCGTAAGATGGTGGCCACCTACTGTGGCAGGAACACTGCCCCAGCCTGGTGTGCAGCCTGGGAGCCCAGAGCCAGGCTCTCCCCACCGGCCCCCAGTTCCCGGGGCTCCAGCCTCCACACCAACCGCGTTCCTGCTGCGGCGGGCCCGGAGCTCTGGCCCCGTCTTCACCCATACCACCGGCCCTGTGACGTGCAGTCTCAGACACGGAGAGCTGAAAGGTGGAGGCACCTCATCCGGCAGGGCCAGAGTTCCTTGCGAGAGACAGAGGCGAAGCCCAGTGAAGATGAAAGTGTGAGGGATGTGGCTGACGCCAAGGGAGGGGTGTGGGGAGCCCCACAGCCACCAGGAATCATGAGGAAGAGGGAAGCTCTGCCAGGCAGGGAGTGTGCCGGTCGCTGCTGGCCCCATTCCTGCCCGCTGCAGGTCTGTGAGGGGAAAGGCTCGAAGGCGCGCTGGGTACTGCCCTGGCCCAAGCCCCAGCTCTCAGGGCAGTCTGGCCAGAGGTGTCCAAGGCTCTTAGAGCAGCCAAAGCAGGGCGTCACGGAGCTTTTCTTTGGCAAAATCCCTTTCAGAAAATGAAGTCTGCTTTGAAGTGATTTTCCTTCGAACATGGCAAAAGCAAGGGAGCCCGTGGAGCCCTCCAGTTCCGGGCGCCGGCTGGGCTGGCCGGGCCAGGAGGAGTCCAGGGACCTGGGCGGGAGTCTGTCGCCGCCTAGTGGCGAGGCCTGGAACCGTTCCTTTCCGTGTCCAAGCCGAGACCCTGGCAGCAGCCGGCTGCAGCGGCGCGGGGAAGGTCACCACCTGAGCCGAGACCCAGCATGCTGGCTCCTCCACCTCGGATGACTCAGCCTCCATAAATGCAAGAAATAAATGCCCTCTGTGTCAACAACATTGGCCAAATGGAACCTCA